CTCTACAAATTGTTGTCAAAGTAAAAACAACAGAAGTGGAACAAAGATATAAGAAGAATAAAAACAAATTAACTGATATTATAAGAACAAGTAAATGCTTATATTATAAAAAAAACTGTATGAAAATAAAAATATGAAAGGAACTTGGGATACTTTAAATAGCCTAATTAAACTAGGATCTTCAAAGTTGTCATATGCTGATCACTTTCCCTCTGGGATTAATAAAGTATTTTTGAATTGAATTGAATTGAATTATTGATGAAAAGGGAGAAGACTAAAATATGAGAAATGTCGTAAATAAGTTCAACAATTATTTAGCAAATGTTGGCTCTAAGCTGGCTGCTTATATTCAAGATAATGGAGTCACAGAATCAACTGTTGAACAGAATTCTTGGTCATTTTTCCTATCAGCTATAAATGAGCAGGCAGTTATACATGTTGTACAAAGTGTAAAAGTAAGTCCTCCACTGACTGTCATGACATCAATGTGACACTGGTTTAAAAAGTTATTTTGAATATTGTAAAACCATTACCTTACATCTTTAACTTGTCATTCCAAACCGGCTGCTTTCCTAGTAAAGTGAAAATTGCTAAAGTAATTCCATTGTTCAAAAATGAAAGCAAACATGCATTTACTAATTACAGACCAATCTCTCTTTTACCTCAATTTAAAAAAAATCTAGAGAAGCTTTTCAATGCCCGGCTTGAAAAGTTCCTTGAGAAGCATAGAATAATTAATTAAGGCCAGTATGGACTTAGGTCTAAACAAACAACAACAATGGCAATAACTGAACCTATAGAAGAAATTACAAATGCACTTGAACAAAAGAAGTATGCAGTTGGTATTTTTGTCGATCTAAAGAAAGCGTTTGATACTGTTAATCATTCAATCCTATTAAATAAGATGGAAAGATATGGAATTAGGGGGCTGGCTGGGGACTGGATCAAAAGTTATTTAACAGGGAGAGTACAGTTTGTAAAAAATGGGTCAGTATTTATCAGACATTATAGGCATTACATGCGGTGTCCCCCAGGGGTCAGTGCTGGGACCAAAACTATTTAATATGTATATGAATGACATTTTAATACATCTAAAGAACTGAAACTCATACTCTTTGCAGACGACACAACTATACTCTACAGTAGTGATGATTATGATCAGCTTGTCAATACAGTAAACAAGGGAGTAAGTAAAGTAAAAAAGTGGATGGATACAAATAAATTATCCTTGAACATAAATAAAACTAAGACAAAGATGTTTGGAAATCGCTACACAGTGTCTGAACTGAGAATCAGTATTAATGGTACCCAAATTGAAACAGTAAATGAAACTACATTTTTAGGAGTAAATTTGATAATAAATTGTCATGGAAACCCCATGTTACTCACATAAAAACAAAAATCTCCAAAAGCCTCTCAATTATAAATAAAGCAAAACTATACATTGATGAAAATGCACGCCGTACTTTATACTGCACCTTGGTACTCTCATACCTTACGTATTGTGTTAAAGTATGGGGGAATACTTATCATAACACATTACATTCTCTGATCATATTACAGAAAAGAGCAACGCGAATCATCAACAAGGTTGGGTTTCTAGAACACACCCATAAGCTGTTTAGGCAATCAATGCTGCTAAAATTTGATGATCTTGTTAAATAATTTATTCATCAATAGTCCTATACAAAACATTCAATAAATTATTACCATCTAACCTACAACGTTTCTTTTCAATACCTGAACGTGTTCATAATTTGAGAGTTTTTGGATATTTTTCATTGCCAAGAGTTCAAACTACTCGTAAATATTTTTGTGTCGGTATGCGGAGTGAAACTCTGGAACAAACTGGACTTACAACACAAGCAATGCCAAACTATAAATCGATTTAAACTGTTATATAAACATAAGGTCTGGACAAAGTATAGAGATGAGAATCCCTAATTTAATTTATTCTGTCGTTTACTCTGTCTTATCGCATAAACATTTCTTGCTGATATTTTTCCTTTACCATTGTTGGTATAATTTGTTGTTAAACTGTAAAAACTTTACAGTTGCCTGTGGTTACGCCATCACTCTTGTATACAGGAAAAAAATGATTGAATAATCAACAGCGAAGCTCGAGTTTACTCACTGAATGGGGATCTGGGGTGGGATTATATAAATTTTCTTCTTCCCACTCCATTTCAGGCAGAATTGCATGGCCATTTATGTATATTCCTTTGCACTAAATTACTTATATTATTTAACTAATTGTTACCTTGTTTAATTGACTGTGCCATTGCCTGAAATAAATAAAAAATGAATGAATGAAAAATGAATACTGATTTTAGGCCATATTTCCCAGCTCTAATTCCACCTACGCATACCCAGGTGCTCATGTCCGTTCTCAGTCATTTACATACACAAACACCCTTAATTAACCATATTTGGTCAAACTGTCTTCAGCACATAAGGGAATTCCTTGGGTATTTCCCCCCAACAAACTTTATTGACAGCTAGATCGAGACAGTGGCTGCCGAAATGCAAAAGAACCAAACAAGTTGCAGAAGTTATGAATGTGGTCAGGACAGAAGAGAAGTCCCTGTCAGAAATTAAAAAAATTTAACGGGTTGTTATTTACATTTGGACCCTCTCCGAAGGATAGAACATTGGGGAAAATTAAGTGTCCATGAAGATTAGGAGCAGGAAGCTTTTATCTTCTTTCCAGATAAATCAGAAAATTCAATTCAAAGATGCTTTATTAATCGCAGAGGGAAATTAGAGTTTCAGTACACACAATTCTGAGATCAGACATACATACATAGACACGTGACAAGAATTGGTGACTGTGGTCATTCGCAACCCGAGTCGCACTATCTTAATAGATCACCAGTGATCACTCTGGTTTCTCACAGCTTATCTTAAGTCAAACTAACCAGTGGATTCACTTCATCCAGATCTCAAACCGTCTTATTGTCATTGTCGTATAGGACGAAGTTGGGCTCTGTGTTCTGTTCCTAATACTGACACAGTCATTGTATGTTCTACTCAATATAAAAGACACAAATGATGCAAATTTGACTTTTTTGCTGCCAAATGGATCTCTGCTCCTTTTGTAAAAGCTCCAAAGATGAATAATAAAAAAAATGGTTTCTGTCAGATTAATCAAATTTAACTCCTAAAACGATGTCTCACACACGCACGCACGCACACACACACACGCACGCACACACACACACACACACACACACACACACACACACACTCTCATCTAGCATTCTTTGTGAGGACCGTCATTGAGTTCCATTAATTTTAGTGACTGGATTGTGCCTAACCCTAATCCTAACTCTAACCATAATTTATCTGTTCCTAACACTAACCTTAACTAAAATGTAAAACATCATCTTTCTGATTTACTCTAAAACAGTGGTTCCCAAACTTATTTAGCCTCTATATATATATATATATATATATATATATATCAGATGTCAAGCTAAACAGACAGGGTTAAAAAAATCCCCATCACTTTCATTTTTTAAATAGTATTTAATAAACATTCGATACTATTACAATTTCCTTTGATTTAATTTTAAATAAATATTTAGAGTGCCCAGGTAGCACATAAACAATGCAGTTTAACGGTTTTCTTAAAGTAGGAACGTTTAAGCTGTGCGGCCAGAGCGCTCTCCTTCCTTCTGCTCTGCGTAAACCTGAGCTGATCACCTACTTGTGCGTAATCAAATGTCAATAGGGGACAAGATATAGCCATGATGTTCACTTTTACCTCAGACCGACTTATTGCTGTTTTATGGTGTGGCTGAATCTGCGATCCGCTGCCACGCGGACTGGAATAACAAATGCTGCAGTAACAGGACTTGTGGTCAGGTTCATGAGGAGTCACTGGCTGGAGCGGACCCGACTCATCCCAGAAGCTAATATCTTAATTTGACCTTGAATGAAAAATAACCTCTTAAAAGTTTTTATCACGGTGGAGGCAGCACTCATTTCTGCCTTCAGTCTGACGGCGCGCCGGAGTTAAAGCAGCGTGTGCGCTTATTGAATCTGTGTGTGTGTGTGTGTGCGCGCGCGGCACAGCCGCTTAAGTCACCACGTCTCGTTATTGGCGCTATTTAAACCAATGTTGTAAAATAACTTCTGCCCAGCCCAGATGTGCTCACTTGTGCACCCGTGAGCCGTGGTTCAGCTGGAACGCGTCTGACCTCTGACAGACGTGCTCTGAACTTCAGATCTTCAGCGCGCTGTCAATAGCCTGAATGGGAATCATTTCTTCTTATTTAGTTACATCCACAATGTTCTGTGTGTGAGGTTTACAACGTCAGAACACCTGCATGAGACAGGTGTTAATTACAATCTGCCAGAATGACTGGCCTTCAGATTCCTCCAACACCGTTAAAAATGATCAAATACGGAACATATCGGCGTGCGCAGGCCAGAGTGCTGAAGCTCGGCGCATTGTTATTATGAAGCTAGGGCACATGTGGAGGACACACGCAAAAATATACTTGTTTTCAATTACATTTATTGGGCCCACTTACTTTTTCTTTGGCCCACCCACAAATGAGTTTCTACGCTAATGGTGACATGTGACAGACTTCTCTGAGCTCCGCAGCCATTACACTTTTCACCTCGCGCACCCCCTAGCGGCAGCTCGCGCACCCCCAGGGGTGCGCGCACCACACTTTGGGAATCCCTGCTCTAAAATAATCTGCAGATGTTTTATTTTCAACATTTGGATGAAGTCTGATGGGTCACAGTTTAATTATTCCACCTTGATTTGGTGACAAGCTATTAAAACATTTAATTAGTGGAAATCAGTCTCACATTCAGGGTGGGTTAGGGTGAGGAATGAGAATCTGGTCTTATTAGATACAGAAGGAACTTTAGACATACATCAGATCAATTAGACGTAGATCTTCATTAGCTCAATGTTTAGTGTGTAGCAGAAGATTTTGTCCTGGAGGTCAGGGTTATGTGTGAATGGATGCAGTCAGACTGACCTCAGCATGGTGCTCCTCGTTCTGCTGAAGGACCTCGATGACCAGCTCAGCCAAGCGAATAGTGTCCTCCAGTTTTTTGGCAGGGGTGGCTAAACGCCCAGCATTCTCTAAAGAACAAAGAGTGACATTCAGGATTGGCAGCTTGTGATCACAATTAACTTATTTTAAAACACAGAATAATGTGCACATGCACATGCTGAAGGAAAGGACAAACCAATAGCCAGCATCCCCCTCAAATGAAAGAAAAAAGCCCAGGAACTACCAGGGCTCAACACTACTATGAAATGGAACCTCCTGGAGCACCAGAGTTCCTGTCAGGAAAACCGTTTTTACCGCAATGAGAGGACACGTTGAGAAGAGGCACTGATAGCTCTGATGTGCTGCAGGAAACACTTTTATGATCAGATGAGATGAAGATTAAGCTGTTTGGAGGAGTCAAAATGAGACTTTCAGACCCAAGAATCAAACAGGGTGGTGTTGAATCATGCTGTGGTCCTGGTGCACAAAGGATAGACTAGTGAAGGAGGATTAGAATTCCTTCCAAAATTTGGACATTCACATCACCTTTACGGACAGAAGATGACGTAGGTCGCATTGATTGACGCTCCTGCACAATCTGAGTATTATTAGATGTTTCTAGGTACATTTGTGAGTGAGTGTTTCGTTGCACTTCTAGAACATGTGGCAATTAGCTTCAGATATTATTGATGTCGCGAAAAGCTGGTAAAAACGTTGGTGTTTTTCAGTCCACCTTGCAGCCTGTTACTTTAGCCATAAGTAAGTACATTTTATTTCTATAGCTCTCATCACAGGCATAGAATCACAAAGTGTTTCACATAGATCAAACAAAATAAAACAGTGTCATAAAATCATAATGATCTCAAAACAGAGTTAGATTAACATCAGACATAATAAAGTCATAAAATTATAAAATTTCATAAACAGATGAAAGATTTCTAATTTGAGGAAAATATAAGAAAATAAAATATTTAGGTAAAAGCACCTTTAAATAAAAGGGTCTTCAGCTGTTTTAGAAAAGTGTCCAGACTGTCAACGCTACGTAGGGATAAAGGAAGATCATTCCAAAGTTGGGGTGCAACCGTCCTGAAGGACCAATCACCTGAAGGTTCTGGTGGGTGGACCAGAGGGTTTAGGTTGGAGCATAAGGCTTTAACAGTTCAGTAATATAGGGAGGAGCTTGACCATGTTGAGCCCTGAAAGTTCTAGTCAGGATTCTAATTTTTTTTTTTTTTTTTTTTTGAGAACCTCATTAGCTCACACCATAGTCTGGAGCTATTCTTCCTGAGGTCTCTTTCAATTTCATTACAAATGAACTCTAAAGTTAATGGGTAACCACTAGGGATGGGTACCTTTGACATTTGAATCCATACGTACCAATTCCCGGTACCTACGAATCGATACTGGTACTTAACTGTACCAATTATCGATATTTTGAGTGTTTAATAATTATTTAAATCACTTTTTTAATTACATATGTATTATTTTCCCAATATATAACCATATTTTATAAATATGATAAATAACATGCTAGTATTTTATCATCATAGTGTTGTACAAAATTCTTCAATATGAAAACCTTTAACAACTGTTTCTAAATAACAAAAACAAACCCAGCTCCATGAACTCCTGATCCTCTTCTAATCCCTCTGGAATAACTCGGATGAGGAGATCATGTATTAGAAACTACAGATGAAGCTAAAGGAAACTCCGCCTCTCACTCCGGCCATTCCTCCAGAGGATGGGACGAACGGTGCGGAAACTTCAGACGCCCAGCTGCACCGCCCGCCCCGCGGAGCCGGACTCCCGCTTCGGTTCCACCTCAGCTGAACCAGAGAGTTGGCAGCCAACGGTTTCAAAAGAGCCAGCAGACACCGTCTTGGTCGTCACAGTTGCAAGAACTTCGCTAAAAGCAACCACAAAATTGACTCGTTGGGGGGAATGTGTGTGCTTCTGTCTGTAATGTTAACTCGGTGAACGATTTTGGTTTTGAAATAAAATCCAAAAAACGTCACATTGAGAGCACAATCCTAAAGTCCTCTGCAGAATCCTCACACATGTTCCCCACACCAAGCACTGCGACACACCTGCATGTTCACGCAGTCAGACATATTACACGGCCAGCTGTAAGGGTGCGCTCCATCTGTGCACCGGCCCTAGCTTCCAGCCAGGCCCAACATATCCTGCTCCCCCCACAACGTAGGGTGGGACGGGATATCATAGCGCTATCGCGACCACGCACGGCGACACGATGCGCAGCTCCATATGCTGGCACTTTGTCGTCGCCATGCACGGGTCCGGCTCCCACTCGTCCTTTATCATTGAACTCCACGTTCCGCGGTGCGGATCAGCCTCTTCCAGCTGTTTCACACTCACCCTTTCGAGCGCAGCCCTCCATGGGTTGCTCCCAGTTCTCTGGTGCGAGCGACGGCGGTACAGGCGCGAACACAGTCCTCAGACGTCGTTCGCTTGACCTTGAACATGCGTCCGCTGTCAGAACGCCTGCAAGAATGGCGCCGCCTTTGTCTCATGAGCAAATGGATATCGGACACCATTCATTGCGGTCACATACTCCATTTTCAGTCCGCTCCTCCTCCCTTCAACGGGATCGTGGAGACGACGTTCACGTCACAGGAACAGTCTCAGGCCCTGGAGCTGGAGCTACAGGAACTTCTGTCCAAGGACGCCATTTCCCAAGTCCCTCGCGGACAAGAGTCTCAGGCTTCTACTCCCGCTACTTTGTAGTACCGAAGAAGTCAGGAGGAATGAGACCAATTCTCAACCTTTCCCTGTTCAACTGCTCCACAGCAGTGATGCAATTCCGCATGTTAACAATGAGGCAAGTTCTAGAATACGTGCGCTCCGGGGACTGGTTCACGTCAATAGACCTGAAAGACGCATACTTCCACTTCCAGTAATTCCCAAACACCGGAAGTTCTTGCGCTTTTCATTCAAGGGAGTTCAATACCAGTTCAATCGCCTCTTTTTCGGCTACTCACTAGCCCTGCGCACCTTCTCCAAATGTCTGGAGACCGCTCTGCAGCCATTGCGCACGGCAGGAATGAGGGTTTTATTTTACCTGGACGATCTGCTCCTATGCACCTGGTCCAAGGACGAGGCGTCAGAGCAAACCAGGAAGTTAATAGAGCATCTGTCAACCCTGGGGTTTTCCATAAACTGGGAAAAGAGCTCCATCCTTCCATCCCAGTCGATTGTGTTTCTCGGGGTGGAGCTGAATGCCTCCCTAATGAGAGCACGTTTGTCTCTGGCGAGAGACTAAATGGGCAGCTTTCCAGAAATGGTGCACAGAGCGGAATGTTCTAGCGCTCTCCTGCCAGCTGGCGGATGTCCTATCGTTTCTGCAGATACTGATGGACAGAGGTCTCGCATTCAGCACTATTAAAACATATGCTGCAGCTATCTCATCCTGTCACCAGGTTTTTCCACATGTCTGAATGAAATTGTTCATCTCCAAACTAAAATGGATGCTATGTCAAAGGAGATGGCTGTGTTGGAAAACAAATGTGAGGATTTGGAATCCAAGTCCTGCCGTAATAACATACCCATCATTGGGGTACCGGAGGACAATGTTTTAACTGCTGCAGATGTGTCAACGCTCTTGATGGAGGCATTTCAACTTGAGAAGGAATCGCTGGTGGACAGATTTCATCGGTCGTTGGCCCCCAGACCTGCTGCCAGGGGGTGCCCTCATGCCATAATCTTCTGGTGACATTACTATGTGGACACTGCCAAGATTCTTCTGAAAGCCAGGGAGCTGCGACAAATATGGATATGCAATGTGATAGTATCTGTTTTCCTTGAGCACACTACCAAGATAGCCTGGGCTTGTGTAGCCTCCAACGACATTTGGTGATTACATCAGAGCATTGAAGGAATTTGGTTTGATATTTTCATTGGGCTAATCTTTGCATCACGTACCAAGGAGTGCAACGTGATTTCATCTCACCAAAGGACGCTGAGGATTATATCAAAACCATGGTTCCAAATTAGCGACACAGTTGGTGTTGCTGTTAGTTTTTTCTCTTTTTGTCTGGAGCCTTACTGGACTCAGATCTGAAGATCGTTGTGGTGAGGTAAATGTGTGACTATCTTTTCAAAGTCCCTCTAGTTGTCACACAACTAGAGGGAAGGTGATTTGATTATTTTTGTCATTTCATCTTTGTTTACTAGTTATGGCTATTTTTTGAGTTGTTTCTCAGAAGATGGTAGTGTCAGATTTTTGACTTGGAATGTGAGAGCTATGACTAACCCAGTTAAAAGATCTGACATATTCTCTCATTTAAAATGCTAAGAAGGTGATGTGATGTTTTTACAAGAGACTCGTCTACAGAGACAGGACCATGCTAAGCTCAGATGTCCATGGGTGGGACAGACGTTCCATTCAATGTTCGATTCCAGGGCCAGAGGGGTGGCCATCGTGAATTACAAATAAATATAATTTGTAGCCTCTAAAACTATAGTTGACCGTGGCGGCTCATCTACAGGGGCCACTAGGGTGCTGCCCCAGCAGTCTCGCTGGAAGAGGAAGAATCACAAAACATAAACATGCTAACTGGCGCGTGCGTTCTGGAACCCTCCTCCAATACAAAGAATAGGAGAGCCTTTGGCCGGAGGGGCATAACGCCCAAGAAGACACATGCAGGAGACCGGCAGGGCAGAGTCTCAGCTCAGGTCAGGACAGAACCAGAAATTCTCCACAGTTCACCGTCCTGTGTTGTAGTAGAGCAGCTGAGCACACCTCATGGAGTTTATTTATGATGAAGAACCGTAAATGTTGGAATGTGACACCTGAGACTTTTGAACTTTCCTGCATGTAAAAACATGGATTATTGTACATTAAAACAGATTATTACAACCCTAAACCAGCAAAGGTAGGACTGAGTTAATGCTTCTAACTTCATGAAATTAGCTTTGTTTTTTTCATGCTGAATTAGCATATATTGGTGAATATTAGGCATGTTTTTGGAACAATTTTGCTGTTACCGGTCTGTTGGTGTGAAGCATAAGAATGGTTATTTGGGGTTCCCTGGTGGTGATAGCGCATCTTAATTCAGTCCAGTCATCCCAA